CCTATCTGCCTAGCATTGCGAGCCATCCAGAGTACCTCACGTTTTACTAACAAACATCATTATTGGTATTAATATTATTATTATTAAAACTGTATATTATGGTATCAAACGAAAGTGCGGTTGAACAAAATTCCATATTGGAATGTTCTATTTTATTTGTATTTTGTAACTGCTGTAGAACAATCGCTATGTCTTTAACCCCTTGAGTGCAATGCCCCATTATTCTCGGGCGCGTTCCTTTGTGGTTTTGGTTTTCTACCTGCCCCTCCCAACTGGGATGCCATTGTTATTTTACGTGTAGCGGCACTTGTGAGCAAGCGACGAAACAATGTCTTATCTTGTAATGTCACTTTTTGATGGCACGTAACTCTTTTTGTTTAGGCGCCTTCTGTTTCGGAATTCCTCTTAGCTGTTACAGAATGACGAACCTAAGTCGTTCGATTTCGCGCTTCGTAGCGAATACTGAGATCTAAAAATTACTGATTAACTCGGTATTCGACGGCTGCGAAAACAAGGAAGTTAACAATTTCAAATGAAGAGATGCCGAGTAGGGTCGCTCACAAGTGTTACCTCGGGGTGCGAGGTCCACTTAAAACTGCATAGTACCGTGCCTCGATATGTACACTAGGATAAACAGAATAATAGTAATAATCTTAATTAGCGAAACTCGAGGTACTCTGAGTGGTTCGCAAGGCTAGGCAGATAGGCGGTGGCCCGTATGTGTGTGAGCGTCTGCTAGCCAGCCACCCAGAGCATGGTAATTAAAATGAAACACAACAACAAGAGAAGAACAAAACAAGACGAAGAAGCATCGGGACACGAGAGGGTGGAGACTACGTCACCTGGACACGAAGCCCAAGCACCGGAATCCCCGCGCTACCAGGGACGGAAGTCAACTTTCTTGGCTGGTGAACTTCGTTGGATCAACGAAGTGTTGCATTTATGTTGCGAAAAATTTGTTGCATTTGATTTCGTTGGTCATGCAGTGGCCGATTTTGGCATGACGCAAAAATGACCGCGCATTGATGCGAGATTTTCACCTTTTACAACATTGGAAATAGGAAAGTTTGTAATTTATTTTTGTCTTTTCTCATGGACAGAATAAGGGGCCACTTTTAACATGCCCCGGAAGAAATATTAATTTATTTCAAGTGTTTGATTTCTTATGTTTTTTGTTGTCTAAAACGTTCTGATAGATAGAAAATCTTACTCGGTTGAAAAGCTACCGTTGCGGAAATCTTGAACATACAGCAGTACTTTACAATTTGCTCCGGACACGTTTAGGCAGTGCAGTTTCTTTTTTTCAGCTGTTTTTTTTTCTTCATATCACTGTTTTGCTCGTCTTTTGTTTTTCGCTACAAGATGGCAAAACAAATAGTCGGCCGTTTTGTTTTTTTACGTTGTTAAAGAATTTTTTTTTTTTAATTTTAGATTTCCCATGTTTGGACACGTACCTTCAGGGTGAACAAAACTTACATATTGGGCTCACAACAGAACTGGTGAGTCATTGACCAGCGAATTACGACAGAAGCAGGAACCGCACATGGGAGTGAACTCCTGAATTTATTGTTATTTGTGTTTGCCGAGGTTCCATCTGTGCTTGTGGAAAGGTTTGTTGTGATTCGTGAATACACATATCCCCGGCGGATGCAAGAGTTTTAAAAGCCTACGCCTTCCTTGAAACGACTTCAAGTGCCGCAGCCGACCGAGGAAAAGATTTCCTTATATATCCCGGATCCGCAAGCAAGTCGTCTTAGGGGTACGTTGTTGCTAGTCGGTACCTCAAGTAATGAATATTTTAATTGTATTTAAACGCGTAATTTGTAATTCACCGCCAATCTTATTTTTTTCTTTTCTGGTGACTATGGCATTTGCAAACGAACCACTGGTGAACACTGGATGTAAATGAATGAACTACCGAATGAATGAACGTGAAACAGTGGGTTTGAATTTGACCGAGCTTGCACGGGGGAGGCTGGTGTCTTTATAAATGTTAGAAAAAAATTTCCAAGACAAACAAAATTGTGCTTTAAGAAATTAAAACCTAACTGTTTTTTTTTTGTTTTTTTTTCGAAGATACATTTGAAGTGACACGAGGTAGAATACGTTAAAATTTGGACTTGAGTTTGGCGAATTTGACCGTTGTTTACAAACTCTTGCCTTTACTTACACGGATATTGGTTTCACTTAACAAGGGTTATTGCGGAATATTTTCAGAATAACTTATTTGTAGCTGTTATAAATATTTTTTTTTAGAGAATTGCAGTTTTTTTACACATCCCACAAAGTAACAGTTTAGATTCTTTTTTACAAAACTGTTAGGTTTTAATTCATTAATTGTGATTTTCTTTTTGTATCGCAGAAATTGGGCTATAACGTATATTTTGCTTTTAAATCTAAATGCCCCCTTAAAGAAGTTTGGTCATAAAAAAAATATCGTAATGGTGCAGGCGAGCTGGTGAATATTAACCATGTTGAATTAACCTACCGCAGTCTCAGGTTAATTCAACATGATTAAGTTTAATCAAATATAAAAAAGTCAATTTTTTTTTTCAACTAATGAAGATTGATTTTGTAGCTGAGGAGCTTTCTCGCCCGAAAACGCGAAACCTCGTTTCCTTGCTGTCACAATAATAATGTACATGCAGAGGTTTTCTTACAAAGGACGTTGTTGTGCTCGTTTGTTCATTTTTGATGCAAACAAAATAGCGCTAATGGTACTGGAACAAGTCATTAAGACAGGAAATGTTACGTATAACTTCCAACTCTCAACAACTTAAGCTCCTGTTTTGTTTTACTTGCTTGTACTCGTTCCATTTGCGCTTTATTATTTGTATCGTATAGTTATTATTTTTTTAGCGTCATAATTTATTTCGTATATATATATATATATATATATATATATATATATATATATATATATATATATATATATATATATATATAGAGAGAGAGAGAGAGAGAGAGAGAGAGAGACAGAGAGATGCAGGGTGACGGTAGAAAACAAACCAGGAGGATTTTATTCGACGTTTCGACCTGAGGCCAGGTCTTCGTATATATATATATATATATATAGGGTGTCCCAGAAAACGCAGGCCAAATCGCTCCTGCGAAAACTACTCATCCCAACAAAAAAAGGCTTGTGTCGTTTTGGTCCTGGGCCAGGGGCCCATTTAAAAAAATTATTAATGTCCGGGATAATTAGCTTGTTAATTATTTTTGCCTACTTAACTTTTTTAATATTGTGTTTAAGGGCATAGTTTAAATTAGAAAATTGCTCAGCATCATCGAAAACCACTAAACCAACAAATTTCAGAATGATAGAAGGCACGCGAAGCATTTTACGGCTTTCTGAAAAACTGCACATATTCGACGGGTTTTTAAGTTTCGGTTTGCTATCGGAGCGCATCTCGGCCCCAACAGCACCGCGCCCCGTGTAGAGATAGTGCAACCAGACTCTACTGCGTCGCGCGATGACAGCGCAGCAGAGGTTGGTTGCACTATTTCTCCGCGGGGCGCGGTGCCGTCGGGGCGGAGATGCGCTCCGATAACAAACCGAAACTTAAAAACCCGTAGAATTTTTGCGGTTTTTTAGAAAGCCATAAAATGCTTCGCGTGCCTTCTATCATTCTGCAATTTGTTGGTTAAGTGGTTTTCGATGATGCTGATCAATTTTCTAATCTAAACCATGCCCTTAAACACAATATTAAAAAAAGTTAATTAGGCAAAAATAATTAACAAGCTAATTATCCCGGACATTAATAATTTTCTTAAATGGGCCCCTGGCCGAGGACCACAACGCCGCAAGCCTTTTTTCGTTGCGATGAGTTGTTTTCGCAATAGCGATTTGGCCTGCGTTTTCTGAAACATCCTGTATATATATATATATATATATATTTGTTGAAAAACATTGATGTTTTATATTGTCACGGATGACAAGTGACGAGGCGGCGAAGGACTGAGTAAACTGAACGTTTAATGGGGTGAATTTGTGCCCAAAAATGAAAGGAGAAAGAAAGATAACAACAGAGCGTCGCGGGCGTCGAAGGCGGCGAGGCAGCACGATCGAACGCTGAGGCGAAACTCACTCTGGCTCGCCACGCGAAGCCCCTTATGTACAGTGCTGTCTATAACGCGCGAGCGTGCGGCTTTCTCCGGGGAGCGCTAGACTGGTGGCAATCGCGGAAACTAAGCTAGTCACGTGGCGCAACATGGAACGGCCCGCTCGAGGGATGTCCTGCCCACTCTATCAGCTGGCGGCGAACGCGGAAGGCTGCTCGCATGCTTTTTACAAACATCATTGCTCGAACAATAAAAAAACCCAATGCATGAAGGCGTATCAACGATGTCGTCATCAAAAAACAAAACTATATCACAACGCACTTTACTTTTATCGCTTATCAAGCTGATAGAGTGGGCAGGACACCCCTCGAGTGGGCCGTTTCATGTTGCGCCACGTGACTAGTTTAGTTTTCGCGAATGCCACCAGTCTAGCGCTGCCCGGAGAAAGCCGTACGCTCGCGCGTTGTAGACAAGTGTGATTAGCACTGTACATGTGTGGTCTTCTAGAATAATCGGCGTAGAAAGTTCGACGTGTAGAACATTCGGACCTCGAAGAAGCCCAACAGGATTCTCGAATTTACCAGAATACTAGTCTGCAGGAATAAACAAAAAGATGCGCCGCTCCCAGGAATCGAACCCTGGCTTTTCGCGTGGGAGCCAGGTACGATAACCGTTAGGCCACGCGAGCGCTGCCTACTTGGCCAGCTGCGCGCGCGGCATTATCACGCTAGATTTTAGCTTGACTCCAGTGTTGCCGATATGCAACCTAATAAGAAATGAGTGCTCCAAGTTTGAAATTACCACTTTTTTTATTTTCAGGTCACCACTTACGTTGATTAAAGAAGATGAAAACGATATTATTAGTTTTCTTGCTATCCGGATGCGCTTTATGCTCCGAGGAGCAAAAAACCTCCAAACCAGAGCCTGCTTGGAAACAATCAAAATATTCTGACATGCAAAACATTTCAAAAGTAAGAACGCAACACTTTCCTGTTTCTAAATATGTAAATATTATTCATAATTCAAATATATTAATAAATTTGGAAATTACAAATTGCCTGCATTTGTATTCTACAAATATATTTGCGAGCACAAAACTCAAGCTACATTTTTAATAGACATTTATTGGATTCCGTGTATTGGGATTCAACTTCAGAAAAAAAATATTTCTAGTAACAACCTTGAAATCGTTAATTGCATTACGTTTTTCGTTTATTAATTCACTTTGATACATTCCTCCTCGTTCGCACACGATGCAGCTAATTTTGATGCCTAAAATGGGTACTCGGCACTACGTCTATGAAGGGAACTCTGATGACGACTACATGCTCAACACAACCTATCCATTTCGCTGCGGGGCTATGCTTTGGCAAGGAGGCAAAAACGACACCAGAAATGCTCAGAGGGAATCTAAAAATATCACTGAAGAATCGTAAGTTTGAAACTTTACCTTCTTGTTTCTCGTCGTCTGATATTTCATACAGGTTGGAAATCAGAGACTCCTCAGGGTTGTATGAAATAAACTTAGAGTACAACCTTTTTTACATAAAAAATTCGATATCGTTCTCGTGAATTAAAGAAACCGGTGGAACACTATTTCAAGCAGTCATGTCCCTATCTGGTCGACGATGCGCCTTGCAGAATAAGGGATTTTGTTGAAATCTCTACTAGAAACACGGACGTATGGAAGAATGACAACCGATTATCAAGAAAAAGAAAACAAACAAGTGCGGTACTACTTTGTTTGCTTTTATACAGCAATCTTACTCCCACAGTGTCGATACACTTTTAAATTGTTTATGCATTTGTTTCTTATAATTCTTTTTGTTTACCGCGGAAAGAAGTTGAATAAAGTTATGACTGTTTTTCGCTTATTTTGGTTGCTCGTTAAAGTATTTCACTTTTGTTTCTTAGATTCTCGTCCAAAACGGGTATCCGCACTATTGTTACATCGAAAAACAGGTGTTGCAGAAAGTATCAACTTTACAAATAAAAGGTGTTGCTCGGATTCCTTGGCCATTCTAAGACTACCAACATAAAGCATTATAAAGTCACGAATATAACACAAGGAAAAAACATTTAAGGATTGTGATGAAACCCAGATATATTAGCATCTATACTGGTATTAACCACAAAAACGGCAATAAAAAAAAAAACAAAAAAAAAAAACACGCCCGGCTTTTTGCGGAACATTAGAAGTTTCCCCCTTAACGTGCTGAATTAAAATATATGTGTGTGTGCATTTTAGGTTTTGCCTTATGCTCTTTAATCAAGATGGACATGTTTCAATCCCAAAACTCACCATTTCTTCCTCCAACAATCATGATGTCGTAAGAACTAGTTTGCTCAGCGCATGGATAATGGCCAAAATATTTCTTTTGTTTCTTGATATGACAACAATTGTAAACCACTTGCGACGACACTACAGATACTTACCGAGCACCGATGTTTTCAAGACTTTTATCCGTGGCATAAAGCAGGAACGCATGGCGACTTTTGCGTGGAATGAAGTACTTCAGTTGGCATATATAAAAGTGCCAAAAACGACAGGGACAAAGAAGAGTGGAAAGAACACAAGGCGTTTCCACTCTCCTTTGTCCCTGTCGTTTTTGGCACTTTTCTATATTTGAATATGAACCAACTGGCACAACTTTCCACGTTGTGACTGCAGTTGAAAAGGAAAAAAAGTTTCAATTTTAATGGCTCTGATTTGTTCACATTTGTATCGTGATTCCTGATAGCGATCGCAATACGCTTCTGAATTTTTTTAAAAATAATTATTATCGTATTTCTGGTTTATGACGTAGGCTTATCGAGAACTATGCCAGATGGGTAAACCTGAAGCCAATGAATGACACTTCAGCAGAAGTCCCCACATGGATGGAAGTGAGAGACTATGGTGTTTTAACTCGTGAGTGCATCCATTTCATCCAATGCTCAAATACTAACATTTGTGAAATACCGACCTATAGCTTTGGTGTAAGAATAATACATGTAAAATTCGCTAATTATAAAAAAAAAGTCTAGCAGATTTAAAAATAACATTTGATGAAAATATTCTTCATTATTTCATATTTGTTTTATTTACAGTTATATTGGCCAACATGTCTTTGGTATATTCAGATTACGAGAAATGTGCATTGCTGCAATATAAAGATACTGGTAAGTCGATCTAGTTCATGAACGACGTTTAGTAATCATACTAGTAGAATAAATACCTCTCTTACAGTCAAGCTCCTCTTACATTCAAGATACGCAGTGACATATAAATTTGATTTCCTATCGTTTGGATATTTCAACAAGAACCATTCTCGGAGGTTTAAATCTACAGGGTCCGATTGAGAAAAGTAAACCCTACTTTTCGGCCCGCATAAAAAAAACTACGCATCGCAGAACGCTCAAACTCCGCCAGAATGTAATCCTAGCGGTCCAAGCAAGGTGCCAAAGTTTCAGAACATGAGCTTACCTGGATCAAAAGATATAAGAAAAAAACGAGAAATCTCTACAGAGAGGCTCCGACCACGAAGAGACGCAGACGGAGGCCGTCTGCTTTGCGTCGCATCGCATAGGTGGCGCCACCACCGGTGTTCTGGTTTGCGAAGAGCAAAGCAGACGACATGTGCTAAAATAATTAGCATGAAGAAATGTTACGCCTGAGCAAATGCACCGAAGTATCACAAATTAGAGCGTGTAATCTTTATTTCAATTGCAGTGAAAAGCAGTGCGTAAATGAAACTTCAGAAATGGTAGAGAACAATTCCGACATTGCAGCCAAGCCCGGCAGATGCCCGTGATAACCCGTATAGGTGGTGGCGCCACCTATGCGATGCGACGCAAAGCAGACGGCCTCCGTCTGCGTCTCTCCGTGGTCGGAGCCTCCCCGTAGAGATTTCTCGTTTTTTCTTATATCTTTTGATCCAATTATGCTCATATTCTGAAACTTTGGCATCTTGCTTAACCGCTAGGGTTACATCCTGGCGGAGTTTGAGCGTTCTGCGATGCGTAGTTTTTTTATGCCGGCCGAAAAGTAGGGTTTACTTTTCTCGATCGGACCCTGTAGAATAGTTCACATTATAAAAACGCACAGAGGACGGGTACTGGCAAGGTGCAACGCGCAGCCGGTGTCACACTGCCAATGCATCATACAAAAGACAGTCTGGAAACGCAATTGTCACCTCAATATCCGTGGTTCAACTGTAACGTGCCAAGGTCTCATCGTGAACTCACTACCGCACGGCATTCAAAGCACGCAGATCTCGCTGTGACTGGCGTTCGAATCCGTAGGCAGACTGTCGTTTGTATAAAAATTAAGCCCCCCCCCCCCTTTTTTTTTTTTTTCTAGCTTAAAGGAATCGTCCGGTCAAATTTCTTATTCAAGAATATATTTAGAGCTCCTTGTCAACGGCTCTGCGAGCATCTTCCACGATAAATTTAATCTTGTGTGCTTCCCTGGACGAATAATTGTATTTTAAACCAGGCGTGCATAAACGCGGTTTTCTTCACAGTGGTTAAATATCGCCACAGGAATAAGACACAGACACAGCGCTGTGTCTGCGTCTTCCGCTCTTTCAGTTTTCGTGTTGCGCTTTTTAACCATGATGTTTTGTACATTGTAAGGTTTGTCAGAAGGTATGTTGATGACATCATTATTTGCACGTTTAAGGACGGTTTATCGAAATCTCTAGAAACTTTGGTAAGATCGACGGCCCCGGAACTACTCTTCATTGTGAAAAGACCCGAAGAAGAATCGTGGTACAGTTCTTGAATATACGGGTTCACGTTAGGGATGGGTTGTGCTGCGAGTACGGGAAGATAACGCAAGGTTCTCAAACTTACGAGAACGCCAAATTGAAAGAATAAAGAAAAGACGCGGAATCGAACCCGGGGCCTCCGCACGAAACCCCAGCACGGTATTTGCCCGGCCACGCACGCGCTCGTCGGCGTAGCGCTTGTCAAATGCCCTCCTGGCACTAGAACTCACTTGCACAGCGCGAGTTTCTTTCACGGATATTTTTTTTTTTTGCTAATAAATCTGTCCGAAATAAAATCAAACAGCCTGTATATAACCTTAGCGTCGTATAATGCCCCCAGCTTGAAGCTCGTTTATGTCGATCGTTCGTGACGCTCGTCCATGACGCTCAATCGTGACGATTTTAACCACACTCTGTTTTAAAAAGCAAATACATCTTGAGCTTTTTGGTTTTCTTGGAACACTCAAACATTAAGGTGCTTGCTATGTCGTGTTTTAATTTTTGGACAGTTCAGTAGCAACAAGTTCATAATACTTTATGAGAGCACCATTCATCATCAACTGCAAAAACATAATGTGTTTTAAATTTCATATATTAAAATCCTGTTTTAAGGTATCAGACAGCATACAGAAGTAATAGGACAGCGCCTCGTCTTGTGTGTTCTCTCCTTTTGTCCGTGTGTTATTCGCGCTGTTTTTTAAGATGGATTCATACCAACTCGCCCAACTTTCCATTCCAGTAAGGACAGTAATTTTGATACATGGTGTGTTGGTGCATATTGTAATATTAAGGGGCTTTACTTATGGTAATCTTGCTGTATATATCACTCTAAAAAAAGCCCGTGCTTCTACTTTCACGCGCAACACTCGGAGAGCCAATCACCCCAACTTACGGAGGCAGCTCAGCAAATGACGATGCCGAAACATACGTTTAGAATAAAGAATGCAGTCTCAATTGTGACATTAAGCAATGCAAGCATGACGTTTTGCATTGCTAAATGTCACAACTCAGACTGCGTTTTTTGGTCTAAACATATGTTTCGGCATCGTCATTCGCATAGCTGCCTCCTTAAGTTGCGGCTCTCCGAGCGTTGTGCGGGAAAGTAGAAGCACGTTCTTTTTTCGAGTGACATATACTCAAGGTGTAAGGAGCTAAATCCTAACATAGCGCCCCTGGTAACTGTAAAACACGGAAGTTTTTTTTTTTATTTTTCTATCATAGTAGTGATGTAAGTGCTACTCTCAATTGTAATTAAAATGATTCATTTTTCATTGCAGATAAATGCGAAGTCTGGCTCTACGAAATGCCAGAAAAAAATCATAAACCGACAGTATGTGAACTTTTGCATGAGTACGTCTGTCCAAATAACATCACCATGTATTATCCCGATGATTGCTTCACCAAAAAAAACAAAATTAGTTCCTAACGTCAAAAATAATACGGCAATTAAATGTCAACGTTCAATCCAGTTGCGATTTCTCGTAACTGTAATAAATAAAAGTGAAAAATAAACAAACTGGAATTATACCGCATTACAACGTTTTTGAAACAAAAACGAGCCCATACTCTGTACCTATAGCATCGCACTGTACATCTGACATGCCTCTTCAGGCGTGCCATTTTAACTTACAAAAAAAAAATTATTTGCGACTGGCGAAAGATGTAGAAAGAGACATTGACGAAACTAGGTTAACTCAACTAATTCAGGCTTAAACAGTGCGCATAGTATGACTCGCGAGGGTCGAGTGAAACTGTCATGGAGTCTCTGTGTTCTGATTCTTAGTATAATGTTCTTTATTAACATTAGAGCGGACTCCACCTACTTCAGACGCTTTTTTTTCTGAGCCTCTGATGGTTGGCTGGTTAATAAGTTTATTGAATATCTGCCTTCTGGCTGGAAGGCCTCAAGGTAGGCAGCTTCTGTAAGAGCTACCAACGTAGTACGAGTCTCGAAATGCTCGAAGCTAGTGGTGACCGATGTCATAACTGACTGCAATTTTCAGTATCACTGTCCACACTGCGTCTCATTACCATTTTAACTATAGTGGTCTAGGCAAAGCATTAGAATCCCGAAAGACGCACTCTTTCATGCATCAGAACGTAGTGCTCAAGAAGCACTAACCAAATTGCTATCAGAAGGAACGAAAAACGCGAACGACGCGGGAGGCTTAAATTTGTTTAAATTTTAACAAAAATGGGCTTTCATTGGTGTGTTCACTAAAAAAGCAAACTATCATCAGGCGTCGCTCCTTGTTTAGCTAAAGACTAGGCGTCGCTCCTTGTTTAGTTAAGGACGTGATCAAAGCTTTAAGTTGCGGAGCGACTTTTCGGAACTAAACGCCCTTGAAGTAAGTCAGGGCGCCTCACTTACGCCGCTTAGAAGGGGAAGTCTAACACAGTTAAGAATGATATTATAGTGACACAGACAGATGCGCTAGGCTCGCAATGCTGGTTCTCACGAGCGCCAGCCTCTGCCAGCGCTCGTGGCTTGGGAGCCAGGAAAATAAAAGAGAAAGAAGTTGACTCTAGCCAAAGCTCTGGTTCGGACGCCTGCATTTTTTCTCCGGCGTTTATAGAACACCGCCGACAAATTGGTGACCCGGACGTCCGACCAACATGAACCAGAGTGCTGCTGGCACCTCTTCCAACGGCGACGGAGCTCTCTCCACCGTCCACCTCCGCCTTCCAGCCTTCTGGGCGAAAAACCCTCGGGCCTGGTTTTCCCAAGTGGAAGCACAATTCCACCTGCGGCACATCACAAGCCAGAGCGCCCGCTACTACAATGTGGTTTCTGCTCTTCCCCCAGAGGTGGCTGATGAGCTTGACGATGTACTGGCGTCTCCCCCTCCCGACGACGCCTACGACTACATCAAGCGGACGATCCTCGCTAGGAAGACGGAGTCAGAGGCTTCAAGGCTACAGCAGCTCCTGAACACAGAGGAGCTGGGCGACCGTCGACCTTCTCAGCTACTTCATCGCATGCGGCAGCTGTTAGGTGAGCAAGCCTCGGACACGAACAATCCGATTCTACAGGAGTTGTTTCTCCAGCGCTTGCCACAAGGCATTCGCATGACGCTTGCACCAGCCACCGATCTTCCACTCGATCGCCTTGCCGAGATGGCTGACCGCGTCGCGGAGTATGCTGCGCCCGCCCTGTCAAGCGTCACGGATAACGCTCATCAGTGTTCCGCCATGCGAGCCCTTGAAGCCCGCATCGACGCCCTGACAACTGCCGTCGCAGCACTCGGCACAAAGAGAAACGACTCGAGACGTCGTCGGAGAAGTAGATCCTCTCGACGTCGCAGTCCTTCACAACGACGGACTGACGTCCTCTGCTGGTACCACCAGAAATTCGGTAGCGATGCACGTAAGTGCCAACAGCCGTGCGAATGGCAGGGAAACGCTCCGGCCCGTCACTAGAGGCGGCAAGTGACGTCGGGCCAACAACAAGCCGTCTGTTTTTCGTCACAGACCGAATAACGGGCCGCCGTTTCCTCGTCGACACAGGAGCTGAAATGTGCGTAATTCCACCTACACATGCAGAGAGGCGACGCCCATTGCCCGGTTCACATCTCGTCGCGGCAAACGGCTCAAACATTCCAACATATGGCAAACAATCTCTGACCCTGGACTTAGGGCTTCGTAAGATCTTTCGATAGATTTTCATCATTGCTGACGTGACCTACCCCATCTTAGGCTCAGATTTTCTTTCACACTTCGATCTGGACGTCAGCATGCACCATCGACGCCTGATTGACACGAAGACTCATCTGGCTGTCAACGGCGTGTCCACAACACTACCTCCCCTTTGCATCCGGAACATCCTGCCTCCTTCAAGATTCTCAGACATTCTTAAAGAATTTCCTGAAATCATGAAGTCCTCCAACATGGCAGAGCCGCCACCGCATGCAGTGACACACCACATCGTCACTTCCGGCCCTCCCGTTTTTGCTCGCCCTCGTCGTCTGTCTGGCGAACGCCTGCAAGTAGCACGACGAGTTCGAGCATATGCTAGAACTAGGCATAATTCGACCATCCAACAGCTCTTGGGCATCACCACTCCACATGGTTCCTAAGAAAGACCCAGGGGACTGGAGGCCGTGCGGTGATTACAGGGCGCTAAACACCCATACACAACCCGATCGCTACCCACTGCCTCACACACACGACTTCGCCGAACACCTGGCAGGAACCTCTATATTTAGCAAAATCGACATGGTGAAGGCGTTTCACCACATCCCGATCGAGCCTGCAGATATTCCGAAGACAGCCATCACAACACCATTTGGCCTCTTCGAGTACGTTCGCATGCCTTTCGGATTGAGAAACGCCGCGCAAACCTTTCAGAGATTCGTCCACGAAGTTCTTCATGGACTGCCTTTTGTATTTGCCTACGTGGATGACTTGTTGATCGCGAGCAAATCCCACGAGGAGCACACAACACATCTGCGCCTGCTCTTCGAACGCCTCCGCGATTACGGGCTTACAATCAATGTGGCGAAGTGTACCTTTGGTACTACGACACTGGAATTTTTAGGGCACCTCATCACTCCCGATGGCATCGAACCTCTCCCATCTAAGGTGCAAGCCATACGAGACTTCCCACAACCCAAATCTCTACGTAAGCTGCGGGAATTTCTGGGCCTCATTAATTTTCATCGGCGCTTCATCCCACATTGTGCACAAATCATTCAGCCTCTCACAGACTTGCTCCGAGCTCCGAGCAAGTCTTCGGCACAACTATCATGGACCACCAGCGCAGTGGAGGCTTTCACCGCGGCCAAGCAAGCCCTTGCCGATGCCACACTACTCGTGCATCCTATGTCAAACGCCCCGACGCGTATCATGGTAGACGCGTCCGATGTTGCTGTCGGCGCTGTCTTACAGCAGTACGGCGAAAATGGGTGGAATCCACTTGGATTCTTCTCACAAAAGCTCAAACCTGCAGAGACACGCTACAGCACGTTTGGACGCGAGCTCTTTGCAATTTATGCGACCGTTCGGCACTTCTGGTACTTCTTGGAAGGCCGAGTTTTCCACGTGCTAACTGACCATAAGCCCCTGATTTACGCATTCGTGGGAAATCACAATTCCTACTCCGCCAGAGAAATTCGACACCTCTCGTATATCTCCGAGTATACTACTGATCTACGCCATGTCGCCGGAACGGACAACACGCCAGCAGACGCACTCTCACGCATTGACGGTGTTTCATCACCTCCTGTTGTCAGTTTTTCGGAACTGGCCTCCGCACAACAGGAAGACTCCGAGCTGCAAACGCTACGAGCGTCCTCTACATCTCTGCAGCTCCAATCCGTCACACTGCCACTCGCCAACTGCGAGCTTGTCTGCGACGTGTCAACCGGCACACCTAGACCATACATACCTGAACGATTTCGACAAGCCATCTTCCATTCCATTCATGATCTTAGTCATCCGGGCATTCGTGCAACGCAACGCCTCGTTACGGCACGATACATCTGGCCCCGGATTAATGCTGACATCCGTCGATGGACCAAAACTTGCAGCAAATGTCAACGTTCCAAAGTACTTCGACACACGAAGACACCGCTGCATGCATTTCGACCTCCAGATGCCAGATTTGATCACGTCCACATTGATATTGTGGGACCTCTACCATCGTCAAGTGGTTTCCGATACGTTTTGACATGTGTGGACAGGTTCACGCGATGGCCGGAAGCTGTTCCGCTCACCGACATAACAGCGGGGACAGTCGCCCACACCTTCCTATCTACATGGATCGCGCGGTTTGGCTGTCCGTCCACCATCACGACCGACCGTGGCCGACAGTTTCAATGTAAATTTTTCACAGTCCTCACCAAGATCTTGGGCGTACGCCACGTACACACCACTGCATACCACCCTTCATCCAATGGAATGGTTGAACGGCTCCATCGCCAACTCAAGGCAGCACTGATGACGAAAGAAGATCGTGCTCATTGGGTTAGCCACCTTCCTCTCGTCCTCCTGGGAATCCGTTCTACCTTCAAAACAGACATCGCTTGCACCTCCGCCGAGCTGGTCTATGGCGCTACGCTTAGGTTGCCTGGAGAATTTCTCACACATGTACCATCGGAAGATCCTGACATCCCGTCCTATCTTCAAGAGATGAGAAATTTCTTTTCCTCCCTGCGGCCAGTGCCACCCAGACAACAGACTTCACGGCAGATTTTCATTAGCGACGACCTCCACACCTGTACACACGTATTCGTGCGAAGAGATGCTGTACGAGCACCCCTCACGCCACCATACGACGGACCGTATGAAGTTCTTTCTCGAACAGAAAAAAAACATCACGGTCAACATCAACGGACGTCACGATGTGGTCACGCTGGACCGCGTGAAACCTGCCTATTTAGCTTCCTCCGTGACAAATCCTGTCGTTTTCCCGCTTGAACTGTCCAG